CCAAACAGGCTGGTTCCTTTAGTCTGAATGTGTGTTTGGTGGCGTGATCATTATTATTTAGAGTCATTGCGTGCCTATTGATTTGAACACGATCCGTGTATCCATCATTTCCTGGTCTTCTCTAAAGAAGAGGGACCAATGGAAACGTTGTCATGTTGCCGTTGTTCAGCATGGAAACATTCATTAGCTAACAATGACATTATTGTTCTATTAATATAAAGGGAGGTCAGGTACTCTTTAAAACAGCTGCTAGTTATGGGTACTTTTTACTTAAGTACATTTCAAAGTTCTTTACTTTGACTTGAGTAAAGAAGTTTAGTTAGTACTTCTACTTTCACCAGAGTATCTTTAAACACGAGTATCTGTACTTTTACTTGAGTACAGTATGTGTGTTCTTCTACTTGAGTACAGGATGTGTGTACTTCTACTTGAGTAAAGGATGTCTGTACTTTTACTTGAGTAAAGGATGTGTGTACTTCTACTTGAGTAAAGGATGTGTGTACTTCTACTTGAATAAAGGATGTGTGTTCTTCTACTTGAGTACAGGATGTGTGTACTTCTACTTGAGTAAAGGATGTGTGTACTTTTGCCATCTCTGATTATCTGGTATTGTGACTGTGTGTATGTCTTTTCAGAGGATAACCAGTTCCTGGAGTGTTTGGAGAACGAGCAGAAGACGGAGTGTAAGCCGACCTTCAGCTCAATCATTAAAGACGTTGAAGTGGTCGAAGGCAGCGCCGCTCGCTTCGACTGCAAGATCGAAGGTACGAGACCCAACAACAAACAGACCGATTGTTAGAAAACTCTCCCTGGTCCCTGGCTTGATCTTCAACCTCAGGATCCATGTATCTGTGATCCTCTCCAGAATGGAAGGAGTCATCACATACAGAGCATCAACTAGTTCCTGAACAGTGTCCTTCACATGCTGATATCCAAGAGAGGGAGTTCCACAGTCACAAGATGGAGGAATAGAAAGCAGTATTCAATGTTTACTTCAGATTAGCTCCACGTCAGAAATGATCATGCTTGTCATATGTCTCTCTCCATAGAGGCTGAATCATCATGTTAATCACATAGCTATCATATGCCTCAAACAGTCCTGATGCTCTTCTAGGTCATCACACTTCCTGTCATGTTGGGGTACCTTTGTTATGATGCTACTCTCATATTGGAAGAGGACATTCAGGATTTTCCCACACCGATTAATAAAAAACTGAGGACATGCAATATAAAGCTAAATGTTTCTCCAGGTTACCCCGACCCAGAGGTGGTGTGGTACAAAGACGAGAAGCCCATCAAAGAGACCCGCCACTTCCAGATCGACTACGACGAAGAAGGAAACTGCAGCCTGGTCATTTCAGAGGTCAGAGGTCACATCATCAGACTTACAGGCTTCACTCAACATTTAAATTCAAACTTAGATAAATGTCTCTCAGTCAGTGTTACTCTCTTTTCTACAGGACTCACCCTTTCTGAATATACTGCTTAAAAGTGCTGACAATACATCTCATTGACTCCCATCTTAAGAACTATTCAGAACAAATTTATTATTTATTACATTAGAAAACTGTTAACCTCTAATAATAATCAAAGAACTCTTATAAGGAGAATTAAAGAAAATACACAGGCCTACTTTTAAATAAATCAGCACAGCACTTGGGGAGTCCTCTGCACATTGAAGAAAAGGAATATAATTAAAATGGACCCACTTTGAAATGAATAAAACCTATAGCTGCACCCTAAAAAGAGTTAGGTGATTGAATGATGACTGAAGATCGTCAGCTGTCTTCCTCTCCGTGTTGTTCCTCGATACGTAAAGGCTGCAGCACCTTTGACAACTCCTCTCCACATATCAAGACATCCCCGGTAAACCAGCAGTCGTTTGCTGTGAAAAGTAGATAACTATGTCCACGCAGAATTAAATCCTGTGTTCCTCCGGTACTTTTCTTTTCTTTGATTTATCCATAGTTCGCTCATCGAGCCGGGGGTCAGGTTATTCCCCCGCAGGAAAAGGAGCTGTCGGGGGACCGTAGCAGGATGTGACACATATTTTAGTTGACCTAATTAAAACCGTTTTGTTTTTTATTTGTGTCACAGCATCACCTCGAAATACAAGATACGAAACATAAAACATAAACGAAAGATACTGAACATAAGCTGGTTATGTCAGGCAGGGAAGAGAGAGCCAGGGGAGACTCTGGCTTTAGGCTCGACAAACCTCTCCCTCTGATCTACGTTGAATGAACCATGAACCGTGTCCTGAACGCCAGTGGGAGTTAATGCTGATACTTTCTGATATGAATCTGCAGGTGTCGGGAGACGACGACGCTAAATACACGGTGAAGGCTGTGAACAGTCTGGGGGAGGCGACATGTACCGCTGAGCTGCTGGTGGAGGTGATGGCTGGAGAGGAAGAGGAGGAGGAGGAGGAAGAGGAATAGACTCCAACAGGAAGAGGTGCTGCTCCTCTTCAGCCTGTCAGACTTGAGCAGGAGAAACAAACCCACAAGTGACAGATTGTGATTGGAGGAGCAGGAGTATCAACGCCGCGAAAAATGCTAAATCAAATTCCCCTCTGCCAACAACAACAAAGATCTTCTTTATCAAACACAAAAACATTTAACGTAATTTAATCTTCTAAGCCCCGCCCACCTGACACCTGGAGAAAATAAGCCCCGCCCCTCTCAGGTTAGCCTCTGCTCATTGGTGGGTTTCCCCTCATAGTTCATTTCATTGCTGTTTCTTAAATACTGTGTGTATAATGGAAACAGGATACTTGAGTTTTCTAACCATGTTTTTATCTAGAAAAAGGCCAAATCTCACGATCTTAATGAAAGGTAAATTATGTTTCCGCCTGATGATTCGAACGGCGCCAAAAAGATATGGTTTGTTCATCCGCCCGATGCTACACGCAGACCGATCAAAGGTACATTTCTCCCAATTTAAAATAAGCACTTATGTCAGTAAACAGCTGTTAATATAACGTCTTAAAAGGCAGGTGCACTTAGCAACACCTGGAGATGAACGAAGAAGAAGACTGGCTAGCAAACAGGGATCCAAAATATTCCAAAGATGAAGAGAAACATGTTCTTCAGGAAGCGTGAACATATTTAAGGCCTTGTTTTAAATGGAGCTTTGTGGGGTTCAAACGTGCGGAAGAGGATCAGGGCCACGTGTGACTTTATTTTATTACAGAATTTTAAAACAATTTTTATGATTTCTATTTGATTTCTTTTTAATAATACATTTTTATTTTCAAATGTCTTTCTCCAGAATTCTAAGTTTTTTCTCCCAACTTAAAACATTATTTTTCACTTGTGTTCAGATCTTAAGAAAATCCCATGTGGCCCTAATCCTCTTCCGTACAAACAGAAAATCAGCAAAAGCTATATTTTATTGCCATTCGATAACCCCTAAGATCCTGAGACGTATTCAAAGTAAAAATGAATTATTCTTAAATTCGATGATTTGCTTATAGCAGTATTTGTGTCAGTCAAGTCTCAGAGCCTTTATGGAAAATACGGCTAGCATAACCTTATTTATTATTTCAGATAAAAATAATGATCTAGTAAAAATGTATCAGAATACAGATGAAGGAAGCCCAGTATCGTGTTTCAGCTCAAACCTTCTGAGGAAACAGTTTGAAGAGTTGTTGATCCTGAAGTAATGCTAAAGAAATGTGAACATTTAATTTCCTCAAAGACTCATGGGAGCTGTAGTCGTTTGAGGACAGGCTCTTTCTATAACCAAACCATGAAGAATGACGTACTGTATGAGAAGCAGGCTTTACTCCAGGGAGTCCAGGTGAGGAAGAAGATGGTACGATGGAAACCTGATGAAGGCCAGAGTCAGGTCACTAAACATCAACGCGGCTCACTGTGAAGCTCCAACGACACCAAACAACACGGCAGGAGACATCGAAAAATAGGTTAGCACTGCAGCTAACGCCATTTATCACCAGAGAGTGAGCAGAGTGAGCTGTGAAGGTCAAATTGAAACAGTATAGCCATCAGAAGGTTTCACAAAGTAAATAAATAAATCAGTCATCTAAATAATCATTGCCTACGGTAGGAAGCTAATTCTCGCTGATTAGGTCTCTTCCACTCATTAGTGACCAACTCAATATTTTTTGTAGTGATTGAAATAATACAAGCAAGTGGACCAGAACTAATAAATATATTAATATGAATGTTAATGAAAATATAAAGCAGCCTGAAGCTAAGTTTGGATGGAGTGCTAACTAACATTTGATGGCTAATTTCAGCTTGACTCCTGTTAGCTCTCTGGCTAATACAAATTAGCCTACTTTCGCAGATGCCGTTTGTAAAAGAAAACTAATATATGGGGTGAAAAGAACTAGATTGGATGCAGTCGGAAAGCTAACATCAGAACAATTACAACTTTAATGTTGAGAAAGTCATATTTCTAGCTAATGTCATCTATACTAATGTTAGCCCACAAGCTAATAAACCTTTGTTTTGAGAGACAATGGCTCACAAACATGAGTTAATGTGAAGAGAGTACAGTTCAGAAAAACAATAGCACAGCTGCCGGCTCGTTTTCAGTCATTTATTGTTAACAGTATATTAATTGTTAGCGTTCTTGAGGATAGCCTTGGATAAAAGGTTTATTATTTTACAAACAGGAAACAGGAAGCAGTCTAAGTAATAGTCTGGTCCACGTAGAGGTTAAGCTAACTTAACCACATAGGGTTTCTGGGTAATGAAGTCCTCCAAATTAAAAGTGTTGTGTCATTTCCACTTTGAGCTGTTTAACATCCAAGTGCCTTAATTACAAAGCGACTGTGCATATGTGCCTCAGCATGAGAACCAGCATGTGATGAAAGGTGATCCCCCTTAGCATCTGATGCATGTGAGAAGAGTCGTGTGTCTTCTCTTCTGTGTGAGCACTTTTCTTATCTTGTTTGTATTTTTGACTTCGACAGCAGCTAACATCACCTCTGCCTTAAACCCAGGTCGCCTTAGAGCTACTCCGGGACACTTTGAATCACCGTCCGGGTGACTTTCACAGTTCCTACCACACATTTGTGACATCGAGGGACTACATTACTATTTGGCTGCCTGAAAACACATTGGTTAAACATGTTGTATTCTGGACTTCACAAAGTCCACAGTTAGGTTTAGAAGCAGCAATAAAAACGCCTGGAGGAACATTTTTAAGAAGTGACCAAAATCAACTGTGTGGAAGAACAACATGTATTTCTACGGAGCTCTGTGGCGTTCTCCAGAGAGAAACATCTTCTTACATTTTAAGTATGTATTAGTATGTAAACCTTTCAAGACCCTTTCCACACATTTTCAGACCTCATCTCCACTTTGAGTTCTAACCGGTTGCCTTGGCGACACACTTTACCTCACATTGACTATATACAGTGTTGATTGTCCTTCCTCCTTATCTTCCAACCATTTGGACGCAGACTTGCATTTCCCCATAACGATGTTGTTTAACAACCGGCGTAAACGGACCTTCGCGCTATCAAGCAGTGAGCGTGCGATGTCCTGTTCAGATGACGTCAAATCCAACGGGATGCCATAAATAAACTCCACAGAATCACACTACACACCTACGCAATGATTACATTCAGGCAGACTGTAGAATACAACCTCTTTGGACCATTTATATACTTATTGAAAACAAGCTACAAAATGTAATACCTTGGAAAATGCCCTTTAATACTTTTTAATACTTTTTAATACTTTTTAATACTTTTTAAGACCCCGCTGACCTCCTGTTTACAAATCCAATATATTATTATTAATTTGACTATTGTATCTTGCTATCCATTTCTTATTTTGTAGTAAGGAGATCCATATGAAAAAAATATCCAAATTAAAGAATAAATGTGTTGACGTTATTCAAATAAGATCGACACAGATCTCGTACAGAATTTCATGCAAATCACAAAAGGAATATTATATTTATTAAACATTAATGGATCTCTTGATTTACTTTCTCACCAAGAAAAGACCTGATTTTTATGATAATGTTTGACTAAATGTGTGGATATTCTCCTTTTACAAATATGAGAGTTTTCTTGTTATTACTTCTTTGCATCTCAAAAACATAAGATCCAAACTCAAAGCTTAAACTCATGTTTCTTTAATGGTACCTCAACATTTGTCCTTTTGCGGTCGATGGAAGGCCTTTTTCTTTAGGTTTTTCTAATTTTACTAAATCTCCTGAGTTTGATATCTCACCTCGGACACTTCAGTGCAAATAAAAAAAACGTCTGCAAATGTTACCAAGGTAAGGTTGAAAATCAGTTTGACTGTTCGTTAAGAGTCACAAGGTACACATACATTATAATGTATGAGATTCTTCTCGATGATAGTTTCTGATTCGTCTCAAAGTGACAAACATCGCAGTTCCTTCAACAAGTGATAAATATGAGGTTTGAATTGGTAGAAAACGGAGGTGATTAGAATCTGTGTCCGGAGTTAACGCTCGGTCGTGTTCCCGCTGATGTCGAAGTCGTACCTTTGATTATTTTTAGTTTGCCACATTCCAGCCGTTTGTTTGTAAAACATGTATTTAAAGGTTTCAGGGCTGACCCACCAAAGAGAATTCACAGCTGTGTGTTTGTGTGTGATCCATCTAATGTACCTGGGCCTGTTTGTGTGTTTGCTAGTTCTTTGTTTCTAAGAATGTTTTTATTTTCAGACCTATTTAATGCACAGATTCATAATTCTGTTATTATCTTTTGAGCATCCGTCTTCTCGCCAGCACAACATTTGTCACCGTTTTTACAACTAAACCAAGCAGTGGACTCACTCCTAGACTGGTTTGTTTCTGTATTAGATGTATGTAGATTATACTTCTCTAATTTTTATATATATATCAGTTTGATGAACTGCAGATGACATGTATGAGAACACTACGACTGTAGTAACTCACAGAAATCTAATAAATCTATCACCAAACCAAAGTGCAGCTGTGGTGTGTTCATTACGAGCCTGTATGTGATCTGAAGGGATCAAATCGATCTGCATCGTCTGTTGAGTTTTAAACGTGTTAATGTTGCTGCAGGATCAAAACAAACTTCCTTTACGGGTTATTAAAGTATATCGTATCCTATAACCACGAGGGCGGGTTTGTGTTCAAATAAGCATACGATGTAGTTATGGCTGGTATGTATAACGTGTTGTAGTTCCATAATGAGGTATGAACATCCATCATTTAAAACAACAATTTATGTTGTAATGTTACGAAGCTGTGAGATCCCGTTATATCGTGGCTCAAATGACTTTGACTTCTGGTCCCACATTCATCACGTAATTCAGGGTTAGAATATCCTTTATTACAAAATGGCACCATGCATACCGATCTGAACTGAGACACATTATATAAACAGCAGACAACGAAAGACCTTTCACATGTGTTATAAATGAGGTATAGATGTCCTTATTTCAAGGTGTTGGAGGTCTAAGTGACGTTTTGCTTCTCTTGTGTTGGTTTGGCACTTATCCTTTTTGTGTCTATTGATGATCATTATATTTACAGCTTGGGCCCGTTCAGAATATGTGCCACACTAACACTCACTAGAGCACCTAAAGTGGATTATTCTGCCACTAAACCCAAACTAAAAAGTATTTCCTTCAGTGTGTTTTGATAAAAGGTATTTTAAAAAAGACAAAATAAATAGCACCAAAGGAGCTTTGACGTTATTTTTTTACAGATTCACTCTTTAACCCTTGAGCCCTCCTCGAATTTCCAACCTTTCGCCACTTTTGTAGCAAAAATGTACATGCCCCAAAAAACTGCTATTAAATCATCATTCATCAATATTGTTTTCTACTTTTTTTTTTTCATGAATCACTTAAACAACTTCTAACGTACTCAAAACTACCGAACATTCAATAATATTCAGGATTTTAACCCTTTAAATGCCTGTTTTGTTTTACTATTTGAATTTTTTAATTCCTCTCAAAAATGCCTCATTGACTTCCATTCAAACCACATATGTTGATCTCACTGCCATTGCAGTATACAACTATGCATTTTGTAATGTCAGCATTTCATTT